TGTTGCTCAGAAATAATACTTTTAGAGGTTTCAAAATAGCCCATCAGTGCATCTGCTATGATGTATTCCATCACCTTGGACAGTATAGAGAGAAGGAAAACTGGGCGGTAGTTTGAAGCCTCGATACTGGCTCCCCCTTTGTGAATGGGCATTATTATTCCAAGCTTCCACATGACAGGAACTTGGTTCTAGTCTAAGCGGTGCTGGAAGAACTGAGTCACTGGCTCTACCAGTTGACTGGCTACTGCTCCCAGTGCCTCAAGGAGAATAGTATCTACATCCGGGGATTTGTGCTTGAGTAGAGTGGTCCGTTTCTGAAAGATAACTTCTGTGGTAAAGAGGGTACTGATAATGAGGGCAAGTTTAAAGCGCTGAGTAGCGCAGTATGGCTGTTTTGTCATTGCGAGTAATGATAAATGCTCACATTTCTCATTTCCTTATACTGCGTTGCTTAAGGACTAAACTTATCATCACGTCCTGAAGACCGCGTATCATCCAGCCGCCAACATCATATAAGAGCTATTTTACCACCAGCTGAAGACAGAACTCCGAGGGTAAGCAAACATTCCATAACGTGCAACTTTCCTGTTGTCCTGCTGGACTTAAGTAATACTGTTAAAATGGATTTCGATACGAAACCAGCAACGCTGCTCTACGGATGTAAGCTGCATTTACTTGGAGAGCTGGTATCACCAGCACTGTCCACTTCGTCCTTTAACTACGAAGTTATATTGCTAGGATAGCTCAACAGATGCATGAGCTGTGGCTGAATGCTTCACTGTTGCGGGAGACAATGGTGTAAATGCTCAGAAGCTATGTACTTGTTCAAATGTACTGCTTCAATTTGACGGGGTTTGACAGCTTCTGCATTTGCCGTACATTGAGGTTTTCAGAACAACCAACGGTACCACAATGAGTCCAAAGCGAGCATAGTGGCGGACGCCATATTTTCACCACTGACAGCCTAAAACCAGCCAGCATGGTCTGATTTGGGTGATGTTATATCTAACCGCACTACATTTCAGCCACTTAACATCTTCACATCATTTGCCGATCCCGGTATGCGGACACCAGCTTGTCCCAACATCATCCACAACAAATTGGTCACGTCAAACCACCAACCGTCTTGGTCGGAAAGTAAATCTTGTCCGATTTTCCGCCTATGAACGTTTGCAGATATTGTATATACGAGTGCATTAAATAAGCTCTGAGATTGCTCAACCTTATGTTTGATGCTGATGACGCCTAATTCTGTGTACGCTGTGTCGACTGCAGCGAAGGCATATTTTGGTATCATTGTGGGTTTCAATAGTGATGGTGGTGCGTAACACAGTGACAATTTTCCATAAACAGAGGAGGTCCGTCAATAAGCCATACAACTCGAAAGAGTTTTGAAGGAATGCTCGGTCGCAATTGCTCTTGCACTGGAAGTGTCAGTGACATGTACCATGCTAGTAAAAAGGAAAATTACGGATAGCTCCTACCATTTCTTCTAAAGACCGCATGACAAATTGCTCAATCTGGTATTAAAGGAACTTCTATTTTAAAGTATATTTGTCAGGAAATACAGGAATGATATCGACTGTATTTTATAAAAGTGGATTTACGTGATACTCTGGGGGAAATTCCCCAGTTGTCCTAGTTGTTAATAAATCTTCAGTTTGCTCTTGGTCTAGGAGTAGAGCTATAAATACTTAAAACATTGTTTCCCCTTCATCCATTTCGTCAAAGTAGAACGAAGATATGGATTGCGATATGTCAACATTTCAATTGTTCTCATCAGTCGCAAATACAATACAAGCAAAACACAGACACATTTGTATACATGGTAAAATATTGGCACACCAATGAAACTGTCAAAATCAAGACCAAGGCAATCTGATTGATTGCCTCAAGAGTTTCTTTGCACTTAACAAAGGTTGATATGCGGTAATTAGCAACGCCTCACAGACTGCCAACCTTATCGGGTTCCTGTTACGTAATAACGCCCTGAACGCATTAATGGGGTTCACGTTGTTAGAACCCAAGGGGCAGGCGGTAACTTGTTTATTGCTAAAGTGGCTTACACTAAGTGTCTTCCTTCATTATTTGGTGACCTCCGCTCATCTGCGTGATTTCCATGGAGTGTTCCCCAACTAGTGCTTTCCTCTGTGTTCGCTCCTCGTGCACATGGAACTGTAATCCTGATGTCATCTTCAACTATGGGGAAGTCGGCAGGGCTCGCTGTTGGTGTGTCATCTTGCACCACCACACTACTTATACCCGGCGCAGTAGTATCTACCTTTAATCCACCACAACATGGTAACCAGTTGTCAAGAGTTGTTTGGCGACAGATGATGACGGACTCCGATTCGTTCTGTGGGGCGTTCCGTTCTGTTACTCTATCGTTTGTTCGACCCAATTTGGCAAGTGCTCAGCCACTCTCTGAACCAACCGACGGTTGGTCTTGCCTATGTAAACATCACTGCAACTGCAGGTGAATTGATAAACCACATGAGAGGCCGAACTAGCCGAAGGGTAGTTCTGACGGTCCTGAAGAACCAGTTTTCGGGTAGTGTGCATGAGGCGCAACTGGGCAGTCGTGTATGTGCGATTTAGGGCAGATCTGAGCTTGTGTCCGATATCATTTGCCACCGACTGATACGTCGGAATCGTCGTACACGCGCAGCATTATTTTGCATCCGCCATTACACAATACTTGATCACTGAGCTATATACTTCCTTGTGAACGTATAAGATATGTGCAGATGCACAGAAGAAACTTTATCTGTATTCACGTCGTGGAGAACATTTAGACGTCACGATCGCAATTTCTCTCCATTTTCCTTTCCTCTACCAAAAATTTTGATTATACTGCCCGTTTCGTTGCGAAACCCAAATTCCAACTCGTTCCATCATACCTTCACTAAAATCGCTATAATATCGCATTCCCACGTCCCAATTTGCCTCAACATCTTTGGCAATGTTTGTCTACGATTGTCAACCTCGTGTTCTGCACCGATTAGGGTTGTTTCGTGACCTACCTCTCCACCGATTTGCATGTCTGCTGACGTTTTGCCCCACAGACTATGCATGTCTGACTTTTTCTTCCTTTGTGTATGCACATTTGTGACTTAGTTGGTGAACGCTCCAAAGAGACCAACTTCACACCCCCTTGAGACTAACCCACACCGGATCCAACCTGCGCGCAGATCAATCCCTTCGCCTTACCCGTCTTATAACCACTGTACACCTAATTGCCGTGACTTCGTACAGGGGATGCTTTGAAGCTAGACATTTTGACTCGGACCGAAAGGATTTTCATTGTAACTGTTCTGAGTTTGAAAGCATAACCTCGAGATATTTATTGTATAATGTCATTTATTCATTTGTAAGCAGTTCCGCTATCTAGTTCCGGACTTGCTGTTTCTTTGATCGCGGTGGAAACGAGTCACTCGAATCTCCAAAGGAAGTTTTGTTGCATACCTGGGTACGCACACCCACACACACACAAACGTATTGCGGTGCTTTTCCGTACTTTCTATACAGGCCCTTGGAGATAACTGTAACCGACTCCGAAGCATTTCATTTAACTCCAGGATAGTCAACTGACAACACAGTGTCCATCATCAACAAAGCAGCTCCAACTCATCTTGGTGTTTACGTACAGACACCCTCACCTACACTGAATTCTCGAGTAACGGCTTAACCAAATCCCTACATTCCTTGTGACATTCTGCCTAACCCCACCAGAATACCAGGACCCAAACCGACGCGGAAGACATGTCAAATGTCTGTTCTATTTTGCATAATTTGAGAGCGTTTGTTATTTCCATCAACATCCGTTCTCCGCCTTTTACGCATTCACACGTTTCATACACAAAGTTTTACAAAGTCGGCGGAAACCCCATAAGCATTTCGAAATTCCCCAAAGCGTATTTACTCTTACCTTGTATGTGATGTTTCGTTTCCAGCATTCCCTTATCCCAACGCCAACTGTGTTCTGTTTCATAAAATCCAAAAAATCTTACCCAGTCAAGGCGATCCTTGAGTTGCTTGCTACCGGGCTCTTTACCAGTCTTTGACCCAAGCGTCGCATTGGTGGCGGACAGCAACAACCGGATTGATGACAAACGCCTGCCAACGTGATGCCGACGATAACGCCCCAATTTCTCTGAGTGTTTTGGCCGTGGACTGGGGTGCGTCATGGGGAATGAAACCACCCAAGCGCACCGTCGCTTGACTGGCAAATGTAATGTCTTGCCGGCCTTTAACCTAGACTAGCGGTTGCTTTCAGTCCAACAAACCCGCACTGACGGATCACTGATGGTTCAGTCGGATTCACACCCAACTAATCAATAACAAATCCGCCTAGACCCAGCGAATTGAGCGAAAAAATTATTTCGGAAATACCTGTTCACTTACACCTGTTGGTGTTTGCGCCCTTGTTCACTTCACCCCCGTCTGCACACAGCTCAACCGAAAGTCTCCATCCCAGCCTTCCATTGGGAGGACATGGTAGGAAAACCGAACTGTATACTCATGTATTATTTCATAACATTAAATTTTAATGCTCATTGCAACTTGTAACCTTCCATTTGTCTTACGGCTTCTTTATTCCTTGTATAAAAGTTGCACCACGTTCTTGCTGATTTGCCCTCTATTCCTTGTAGCCGAAACAACAGACGCTGGGTATAGTACCCTCTATTCTCTCTATCGTTTCGCACTTGGCTCCATTGTTAATTGTCATCACCATCGACCAGTATCATAGGATCACCACGCACTACCGAGCAATATTTCAGTTGCATATGCACATACGTTTAGCTATGGGCATTCGGTGGCGGACTCCGCCGACTTCTTCTTTACTATCTATTATATGCTGCGTAAAAACAGGTTCATGTGCCATCAGTGTGCAGGTAGGTAATAAAATGCCAGACGTTGGAAATCCAAACTAGTGTCTATTCGAGTTGATCCAACAAAAGAATGTAAACTCAATCTGCTCCACAGTGTTAACATTGCTTTTAGCGTGTATGTTTTTGCACACGCTGAAGGAAGTTGCCCAAACCTAGATGGAAGTAGGTTAAAGCGTGATAACAAAGATAGCGCGTTACTTTTTACTTCCGTCTTTGTGGATTCCAAGGCTTTCACTTTAGCTGCTAGGTCACTGGCTGGTTTGATGACATATCTAAAACATATGTACAGATATCTATAAGTTGCTCGATCTTACTTGTCCACCAAAGAGAGGTGGGCCAGACGGAATTTTCGCATTGCGGAGGTGAGTGATTCGTAACTTCTTCTCAATCGCACGTCATCTGTGGTTTTACCTGTTGAAAGGAGTTGTATCCCCACATTAGCATAATAAATATAACGAACTACATTCCCAATAATTATACTTTAGTTCGATTAAGTGAAATGTCTAAAAGCTAAGAAATATATTCGGGTGTGAATCAGGATGAAAGTGCTGGTAGCCGAAATGGCAGATGAGCAGTACTATCGTCCACATAGATAAAATCTGTAATTTGCGGTGTGTCATGTAATCAGACTCTGTACCAATATGTTTTAGGTGCAGTCCAGCTAATTCATTGCAGTATACACAAGCAGTCTTTTTACACAAGCATCATATCTGTTGGTAAATAAATTTGTCTAATTACCAACCTACTTCAGTGCTGCCGACCGGGGAACAATTCGTTCGTCCACAAACCACAGAAACAATGCCAGAATGAGCACATGATCCAGATAAAAGCTAGTTGTATTTTCACAACCAAGAAATGGTGGTATTAGGGGGCTTTTTGCCGTGTTTCTATAACACTCAATGAACTATACATCGAAATATTCCGTGGATAATTTGGATACTAGTTGATATCTTCATTGTGGAGAGTAAGATGGGGAAACGAATTATGAGACACTCTTATTTTTCCGATGCATGCATAGTAGGATTTCATATTCGACTGCTTCGCGACCGTAACATTTCTTCTGATAGGTTTGAAAACAGCTGCGAACTGATGAGTTGAAAAGTGTTCGCGGTAAGTTGAACAATGAACAATGATTTGGCAAGGGCAGACAAGCAGGTGATTGACTAATTCCTTAAAACTTTTGGAATGAAAACTAATCAAGCAATGTGTTTGTGAACCAACAGTTTAAGCTTCTACCGATTTAAGCGCATTGTAGTACCGTTTGAACCAAGCACTTAATAGGCAGACTCAAAGTAAATTGGTGAGCAGTTATAGTTCAGCTAAACGGTGAGGATAAAAAATTGAGGGAAATGACCACGTTCACTCATATGCGACCTTATTGAGTCAATAGGATTTGTAAATCCATTCTGGGCAATTACTCTCAACATTTATACAGTAGCAGCGTTTAATAAATGTAGTGCGAGGTAAAAATTAGGACGTTGCTTGGTAGTGTAAGTTTGATTCGCCGACGCAAATGACTATTAAGCTTAACTTAAATGCATGGGTTTGTTATCGAGACGTCTATAAAATTCCGTTCGTGTGGAAGAATAGACAACGTAACTGGGGAGGGCGTTCCAAAACTGATACACATGACATGAAACGAAATTTTGACGGCATTTCAAGCGGCTATACTGCGTGGCCAGCTTTAGCTGCTGATCTTACAATGTCGCATTGCGCTCTGGCTTCTATTGGTGGCGGCAATCATGGTTTGGATATCTCAAGATGAAACAAGTCGCCACCAACTCGCCACGCGGGCGTTAATATTGTCCACTGTAGGCCCTGAGGTTTTACATCTTTACTTGGCAGAGCAGATAAAACAAACCATTTACATTTTTGATCGCTCTAATTTGAACAATGAAAAATGATTTGTCACAGATGAAAAGGCAGTTACTTGGCAAGTCCCGCAGGATGACAGGAATTGTCCTTCAATACCAAAAGATATGTGAGTTGACTGTTTGAGCGTCTCCAGGGCACATTTGTAGTAAATTACACTAGTGTAAATATTAACTGAATGCAAATAACAAGACTAATTTGCATCAGATATATACAACGTACACCGGGAGAAAATCAAAAACATTGATACCCAATCATATACACAATGCAGGTTTATCTGAATAATACAACGGGCTTGAAGGCATAAATAATATATTTCAAACCAGCACCGCTTAGTCTACAAAGTGGTAGGAGCCATGAGCAAAATCTAAAAGGTTTTTAAAATATCCATGGTGAGTGAGAAAACACCGGTCGTTGAGAGAGAATTGCATAGTTTGTAAAGAAGAGAAGGAATATCATTCCGTCGACATTCTACACTGCTATAAACTGCACACAATTTCAGACACTTCTGCAATTATTGGGTCGGCTAAGATCTATCAAAGGAAGAAATGCCAGCTTAAATAAATAAATAAATTAGATAAATAATAAACTTTTATTCTTGACAAGGTAAGGCACGCCTTTACAGGCATGATCAGGTTAATATAACCATGCTTGAACAAGCATGTACGAAAAGCTGGCATTTTTTCCATAAAAGTGTATGTTTGTGCAGGGGTGTATATAAGCATATAGTTGAATGTCTGCACGTAACTGTATCGTTTGTGCATGTAATTGTGTAGCTCCATGATGGAACGTTTAATATCGTCGACGAAGTGCTAGTAGAACATTGGTGTCCGTGGGTTGGAAAGGGATATCCGGATATCCACGGGGCAGACGTTAATTTTATGGCGAATCACGACCGCAAAGTCAGAGTGAATTAAGAAAATATATGCGGAATTATATAGGGAAGAAGCTTGCCAGTAGAATAAACGCGACGGCCTTGGACATATTTGTTGAACTATTTGCTGGAAGTAGTTGTAACCGAACCATCCAGCTTGCACAACGAGGTAGTTAGGAGAATTATAACACATTGTAAAAAAGTTGACCGTAAAATACTGGTCATGCATGATAAGGCGTGCCTCGATGTTACCGAGAACAAACGATTTATTTATTTCCTTTATTTCCGTCCACCACACTCTATGTCGGTAAACAACAGTAACTTGAACTGCGTTCATGAGGTTGCTTTAAATAAGTCACATAGTCACATTAATATCCAAAGTGAATTTAATGTGTACGACCCAAAAATATCACCATCTGATAGCACACAATTCAAAGCCTGTTTGAAAGGGTTTATTTCCAACTACCCTCAGTACAACTACGGGACATCTCCTACTAGATTTCGAACTGCTAACAGACCATCGATACTTGATCTTGTGCTCACAAACGAAGAACTCATGATCGACGGAATAGTTACAATCAAACCATTGGGTCTCAGTGGCTTTGCTTCTCTTGTATTACACTTTGTGCTATGCGGAATATCCAAAAGAAGAGGATGCAAATTTATGTATGGTCATGTACCATGATGTGCTTTTCACGCTTGTCTAGGAGGTAGCTTGGAGCTTCGTAACTGGATGTCTTCCAGACGTCACCTGAGAAACGCTTCCAATGACATTTAGCAAAGTAGTAACGCACGCGTCGTAATAGAAATGTTTCCATCAACAAAGAAAAAACAAATCCTTTTTAAAGATCAGTACACTTGAATGTATGTGCTTAAGGGACTAAGCACAGTGACTCCCCAAATACCAACACCTGGGCTGCTTACCTAGCACAGCGTAACAATTGGGAAAAGTCGATCTGCGAGGACAATGGGATGCATCAACATAACTTAATGAAAGGATTCTGCACAGACCGCAAACCCTTATACAGGCAAGTTAAAGGCCTCCGTAAAGTGCATCATAAAATTCCAGCACTGATCACGACTGGTGGGTGCACGCGATCAGCAAAGGAAGTGGCTTATCGCTTACGGTTCCAGTACACACATTCGTTCCAACAAAGCAACACTAACAAATATTACTCCTGTTTTTTGTCCCATCGTTAGCATCATAAATTACCACTTTTATTGCAGCAGCTGTGTTACAAATACTGTTGTATCTGCCTATCCACAACTCCCCTGTTGTCAATAACATTCGACCGAAGGCATTAATAACAACAGCCAAAGAGCTGGTGGAAAATCTGGTTACGTACTATCAACACTGTATAGAGGAGATCGAAATCCCAATAATACATAAGCAAGAGATTATCACTACTATCTATTAAGGGCTTCGTCACACGGACCCAACCAATTACGCTCGGATAACGCTGCTTCCTTTGCTTTCCAAATTTATGGAGTCCGTCATCGCAAAGGCACTGAGGCAATACCTGGACAATCACAGCATTAAAACACCGGAACAACATGGCTTCCAATCAAACCGTTCACGCACTACGAACCTGATAATTGCAAGCAGTACCTGGACTGAAGCAGTTGATGGTCGAGTAGGTGTCGATCTAAGCTACCTGGACTTCTCAAGAGCGATTGGTTGCTTAGACCACCGAACCCTCCTCCATAAACTTCAGATTTATGTTATTGGTGACGCAATGCTGTGTTGGATAAGCATTTTCCCGCACGAACGTCGGTTGCAGGTGAAAGTACAGTAATCCATATCCGATGCAACTAAGGTAGAGTGTAGTGTACTCGTAGGATCGATAAAGTGCCTCATCAAATATTGATTATCATAAACGAACTAGCAAGATCAAGAAATTCCGATTGCCTATTCCTCGTTAATCGTAGTAAGATATGGCAAGCATCTAGGGGACCAGACTACCACAAAGATTTCCAACATGACCTCAACACGCTTTCCAACTGATCAACACAAAATATCTTATCATTCAATGTGGAAAAATGTCGCTTAGTTCAATTAGCCTATAGGCATGGCTACGTGTATAGGATAATGTCGGAAACATTACAAACTACTTCTTAGATACGCGACAATGGTGCAATCAGTCAAATTGACCATACTGTTCAACAAGGCAGCTGCGGAGACGTAGTAAGCGCCTTGGTCTACAGCGGAGGACATTCAGAAATTTGACCCCACAACTTTTACATGAGATTCAAAATTTAAACGTACGCCATCACATTGAATACCCTATCAAAGCATAGCAACTACAATGGCAGCGCGACCACAAAAGGAGAGCAAAAACCAAAACGCAGCGCGACAAATGATGTTTAGACTTTACTAAAACGATCAAAGTTGCAAAAGTTGAAGACATTAGGAAATTTAGTTTGACGGTACAAAAGGCTCTGCCGCAATCTCATAACATAGATTCTTAAAGGCAAATCAGCTCTTAGCGCTAATAAGTTACCACGTTGGATAAGCAAAGCACTTGCTGTTCATTCAAGTGCTCACGCGTATAAACCTAGTGTCGACCTGCAGGACTACCTGCACGCACAATCAGTGACACATTCATTGATCCTAGGACATTAGCCAATGGGAAACACTGAGTGTATGCGTATAAGGGGATACTGA